CACACACACACAAAAGTAGCCTTACCTACGTGTCGGCTTCGTAACCCACTTTTCATGACAAAGTAAAGCTAGAGAAGAAGCTGAAACTCTAGGGAAATCTAATTTTACTTCTGATCTACTCCAGAGCTACCATTACCAAAGCAGGAAACACTGAATGTCTCAGTGGTTCATTTGATTTCAGCCCATAGTTTTACAGCATATTATATCAGTCAATGTATTTCTCTTAACTGCCTTAGGATGATGAAATACCCAGTGGAAAATGACTCAGTTTGGGGTTTTTTTGTGTGTACTTAAATGACTGTCAGTAACTCTTCTAATTTTAAAAAGAAAGCTCATCAAATTATTATACATTATCCCGTTTTTTAATAAGTATTAATGTCATAAGAAAACATTAAAATCCTGACATGCTTAAGTAAATTGACAACTGAATCAGTCCCCCACGTGTACATTTTGTATAATGTGTGGACTATCAATCTATTTAAGACTTACAAGCTCATTGGGGCGGTCATTTTTAGACAGATAAGACGATTACTGTACGGTAGCTTTGTTATAAAACTAAAAACAGTGATGAAATGTTTATTACTAAAAAGGGTCAAATGAAGTGTCTCTAATACTGCTCCCACCTTAGAAATGCCTGTCCTTTTGGCTCTTATTTGCCATAAAAGCTGTCAACCCAATGTTGACACACCCTACAGATAATTAATTATGATCTCTGGTAGCCGATCAAAGAGCTGTGTATTAATAAAACGCAGCTCTTTATCGCTGGTGAATGACCAGGATCGACCAGCTGATGGGAAGCACAAGGACTAGTATAGACAGGACTTAATGAGCACCAATAATACCACGGTCTCAGCCTTTAAAACACTGTATCGTGACAGCTAATACACATCACGTGGACTGGGCCTACTGGCGCACTGAACCAAAGACAACTAATGAGCGTTTATTCAGAAACAAGCAACACCAACTACTGACGTTACAAGCCCGGGCTTCGGTTTCTAAAGGCTGTGATGAAAGACTTAATTACCAAAGGGCTATTCGTCGGAAAACATGGCCTCGGTCAGTGAAGCCGACGGTTGACGTTACTGAGCCACCACTCGACCACTGCCTAGCTTGGCTTTAACAAACACCATACAATAAAAGCCTATTTATACATGAATGGATTCAGTCCACAGGAAAGAGCAGGAGGTGTTCTTTACCATGTCTGTAAAACATTCTACATATATAGACATTAAAAGCGTAGTTAAGGTGTATATGTTGCTGGTATATTGTCGATAGGGACAATGTCTATTTTTAATATGGGAACCGATGGCGGACGCGGGCAGATCGATAGTGAACAGCTCACATGACCCATTACATGTGCTAACGTTTAGCACCAAACGTAATAAAACACAGAGAGAGAAGAGGATCTGAAAATACATTAAACGCCAATGGTTTTTAGTCACGAAACGCTCGGATATCCGTCTGGAAAATTAGCTTCATGTGCCGCTAGCAGCAACAACACTACGCCTAATACAGCCGCCGCTCATATGAGAGCGTTTCTTACCAACGACGGATATGGTGGTTTGTTTTGTATCAATGCCACCTTTACAAAGATATAGGACATGTAAAACCATAACTGTCGTTCCGTCAACAAACCAAGAACAGGTACATTTTTAATGTTCGCAACCAGGGCAAAGTCTACATCTTCAACCAACATGGCTGACACAAAATCCTTACCTGTGGACGCATTGGCTCCCCGACAGATCAACAGAAGGGCACTGACAGCCCACAATAACTTCATGGCTAATAATTTAGATAATGTTTACTAAATCGTCGAATAAACGCGACGTTAACGACGACGTGCTGAATCCTCTTCCTCCTTCTCTTGCGGACTTCCAGCTCGGTGTACAGGCTGAATGTTCACAGTGGAGCCGATGTAGTTGGTCGTCCTCTAGTTGCACTTCACGCACACGCCCTGATCAGCACGTACACATGACGTCTTGTTTAGGGGCGTGGTCACGTAAAATGAGTACGCGTTGGTCTTCACTAGAAGCCATTTAAGCTCATTTAATGATAATAATCGTGTGTAATTTGGCCAAACATATGAGTCAAAATAATATATTTAATGAAAAACTGAAAGACTATGTTTTAAGGAAGTTATTTTAAAAGATATTAAGGTCTCAAATAAAGTGTAATGAAACCATAAAATGATCATTATGTCCGTTTAGTAGCACGTTTCATTTTAGAAACGTAAATCACCCAGATGTATGTGATAGAGCAAAAACTGCTATAGGTGTAAGGAAATGTCTGCAACATTCAAAGATTTTCTTCTCCTTGGAAGAAATCCACTTAGCTCCCCATTTCAAAAATCTACAGTGTGCTGCAGTGACCATATGGATCACTGCTGGAGTTTGCAAAAAGGCACAGAAGGACAGATGACACAATTCAAATATTAACAGAAAATGTGGTAATGCTCGATACATTGCTGTGGGCGCAGTTGTAAAAACAGAGACTCGTAGAGCAACCCAAAACAAATTCCTGACAACTTGTTTTAGAGTGAAAAGACAACTTGGAAGTCTTTCAGATTACTACCAAGAGATTCAACTCAAACAACCCAGAGTAATTGTATGAGAAAAATCCTCCCAAATCCAGATGTGCCATGTTAAAAAGAGTGCTGCCAATATATTGAAAATATTTGAATTCTAATAGAAATAAAGATATTTTGTGTAAAGTTGCAAAATCGAAACACATTTAACAAAATGGCAGCTCTATATAGTGAATCTGTAGTAACTAAATATTAGAGAGCTAACCATATTTCAAGGTATGTAGTTACAAGGGCACAAATACTTGCAGTATTGATGACAAAGATACCGGGTAACAATAAAGTGTGAATATGAATCAGTCATTTTACATTGTAAAGTCAAACTCATAGCAATAAGTGAATCCATTGGTCTTTTAGCTAGACAGCTGTTCTGTCCATAACAACAATCCCCTCAGATTAAAAGGCCTTTGAACCTAAACCCCAGAGGACAAGAGACGTACAATGTAGAGGAAATACACCCATGTGGCTAAACAATAAAAGGAAGTAGAATTTATTAGCTTATTGATAACATTTAACAGGCAAGCACCCTGCTGAAAGATTTAATATGAACGCTGTTTACTATCTGCATACCAGGCCTTGCTGTGAAAGAACAAAACCATCTCAAAATTGTATTATGCATTGAAAGCACTTCCAGCAGAGCTCGGTCATTATGTTATTGTTCCCTGGTTGATGCTGGGTTGTTCTAAGAACCTGCAAGACGCCATTAAAGGGAAAAATAAATCAGACCGGCACAGCTCAGAACTACCCTGTTTGCTAAAAAATGTTTACCACACTTATTTATTTGGTTTTAGGACAAACAAGTGACTCTTTTTTTTTGTTTTTTTTGTTTAATGATAACTTCATTGATCTACCAATGAAAACAAATTTAAACATTCCCTGCTTGTGTTTCTGCACTCCTATCCAGTGTCTAACCACAATGCCACAAAATAAGTGCAGGAAAAGAAAACAGACTTTGCCGAGGGGTTGTACACACAATTAAAAACATATTTGTTTGTAGTTACCGTCAGTTAGTGAAACAAGCTTAATTTTACCCTTATGACTCCTGTTGCTCATGATTAGACCTTCAGAGAATATTATATATACACACACATACACACACACACACACACACTGAGGATGCTTTACATGAACTTTGAGTGGTAGCACTCAACCATCTTTATTTTCATGTCAGGTTTTTTTTCTTTTGGACACAATCATACTGCAAATCATTAGTTTTTCAACTGGCAACTTTAGAAAATATTTAATTTACCTTTAAGTTAAAATGCACTGAAATGTTTCTAAGTGTTTAATGTGAAAAGCTGATCCACATCGTAGGCTTGCTGACAAAATAATAATGTGTAATTTAGTAATGATTATGCACATCATTATCCAAACAGCACAAAATTACTGCAATTTGACGCATCATTTCAAGTGCAAACAATGGTACTTGTGTGATATCAGGTCATCTTAAAACTGTAAGTTGATCTTGACAATAAAATAATTGTATAAACTGTTGTAATCTTGTTTTGAGAACTAAATTAATCAAATCTAATATCTTTCCAAGCCATGAATAAACTTAAGTGCACACTTAAACAGTGCACTACAGTGCACTTTGGGTCATTCTATCTGCAAGATATGAATGCTACTTATAAAAAGGAATAACTGTACATTTCTTTTTGCTTCATTGGCAAAATTGAATCATTTTAAATCATACAAGTCTGGAGATTAAAAAAAAAGAAAAGAACAGCAACTGTCTTGTTTTCCCGAGTCTTCTACCTTTGGATTCCTTTGTGTTCTCTTCCTTTATGAGGTGATTCAGGCAGATCGAGCCTTTTGAAGTTTCTGTGTTTCTCCACCAACCCCCTGACAGAAGCTGCACTCCAGGCCTCTGCCCTTTCCTTTGTTCAGATTCCTGATGAAGGTGGGAGCAACAGAACAGGCAGAAATACATGGACCTCACGTATCACTTACCCCTGAATCAGGCTCGAGTGCTCCTGGTGAGATGTACTCAGGTCTCTACCCTTCAGCAGAGAGAGACTGGAGGTCACCGCTTTGAAGTACAGCGGCCTAGGAGCTATAAACAGCTCATAAGGTGATAAGGACAAAGGGTTCTCTAAGAGTTATCGGTGGAGTTTTCATTGCTGGTCGAACTTGAGGACTGAGGGGTAGAGGAAGATGAAGAGGAGGAGGAGGAAGAGGAGGAGGTAAAGTTCATCCCTGATAGTTCTGGAGGGTTTGTTGCTGTGTTCTGTCCACTCAAGCTTTTCCTGCACACTGGACAAGTGTCGTGCTGGAGAAAAAGAGTGGTAAAAAATAGGAAGTTGTTTAAAGTGTAATTGTTGCCGCATAGTTTCATAAAGCCAATGGTGTATATAAAGTGAGAAGAGCATTAGATAGGTGCTGTGTAATACCTGTTCCAGCCAGGGGACTATGCAATCATTGTGGAACATGTGATTGCATGGGAGCTGCCTCACATTTTCTCCAACACTGTAATCTTCTTTACACACAGGACATTCCAGTCCTGAAGCTTAAAGACAGAAATGGATAAAAGGTTTACCAATAGTGACATTATCAATGTTACTTAGAAAACATGGTCCTTAATAACTAACAGCCATAGTGAAGCCTTGCAGGGTCTGGAATATTTAAGAGGGTTGGGTGCTGTGCTACTGGTTTGACTTGCCTTAAGCTATGCAAAATGGCAGTTGCACAGCCAGGCAGCTCTCTAAAACCTGATGTGATGGGTGTGTTAAGTGACTAGGATAATTATAACATCGGCAGATAAGACATTTTCTCTGTTTAACAGAATCATGCCTTTGAGCTCACTTGAGTCATTAACTGGTGAGATGCTTCAAATTAAACATTCTTATATTGATCAAAACTGAAGCCTGGTGATGAGCGTGTCTGGCAAAATGGTAATTAGGCATTGAAATGACACTGCAAATCTAATAACAGCACGCAACCATCTGTCGTAAAGAAAGTTATACTGCTGTCCAAATTAGAGTTGTTCCGATTCCGATGCCAGTATCGGAAATTGCTCCGATA